AATGTGATATTTGTATGTTTCTGGTTTTTCTTTAAATAAACTGAGATTAAAAATCATCCCTGACCCATAAAGCACCTCATGTTTATAGGATATAGATTCTTTTAGTTTTAAAACGTGCTCTAACTTATCATGTTTCGTTTTACATCCTGGTATTTTTTTTAATCATTAAAACTGGATTTAAAAAACACAGCAGGACAAACACGGTCTCTCACCCACATGTCTGGTGGAGGTATCAGAGCTAGGGTAAGTATGGTCCATGGAGAGAGCAGGAGCCGTCCTGAAAGTGATCCCCTGCAGCAGCTCTCGTCAGTCTGGTGAGGCAGGTCCAGCAGAAGAACTGTCTGCACTGAGAGCACGTCATCATGTTGCATCCTCCGTTTTTCTGCAGCATCAAACACAACATAAAACACATGTAGCACCAGGTGAACGTCGTTTTACAATGAGACACAGGCCCAACCCTGCCTGAGCTGCCCAGAGTGATAAGATGGTAAATATACACACCTCTATTTTGCAGAAGCAGTGAGGACAGCTCTTGCTGTTGAACACAACCCAGTCCTCACTCAAGATATCCGGCAGAATGACCTGCAGCATCCTGCGGCCGTATCTGCTCTGCAGGAGGCGCCGCCTCTCCTCGCTGCCGCTGGCGTAGTCGTCCGACAGAGCCCTCATCCCCTCTGAGAAACACAAAGCATCACCTCAGATCACCAAACAGACGGATTGTTCCAGGATTATCTGTCTTATCAGACTCTTTTCTACCATCAACCTCCCAGTTCACCTGCTCCCACTAACACAGGTTCTGTTAATGAAATATTCAAATGACAAAAAGAAGAAGGTTGTTTATACCTTCAGTAGTTCTTCTCAAATTTAAGGAATTGTAACTATTTCACAGGTTCTTCCCTTTTTATACACAGTCTCTGGTTCCTCCTATAACTAAAATGCATAGATACCACTCAGTGTTACAGCTACTGACATTTTAACACAGAGCTACAACAGACAACATGGACCGAGCTGAATATAATACAACACTCTCTGACATCAATCTGACAAACATCACCGTCTCATCCGATGATCAAAACTGCCCCAAACAACAACAGCATGATACTAAAAGTACAGGAAACACTTGAAGCTCAAACGTGGAACTATTATCAACACTGATTATTGATCTGAGGATTGTTGCTGAGCAACGAAACGGCTCCTTGTTTTTGATTTGTTTTGTTCTGGTTAAAAAAACGACCTGAAGAGACGACTCATGTATTGATCAGCTGATGTTACTGCAGACACAGATCGCCTGTCACAGATATATCGGTATGTATGTAT